TCAAAATGCATTTAATGATTTTTTAATGAACTCAAGTCAGTAACTCAAACAGCAATATTTAAAACCAAGCACTCCTTCTCTGCACAGCCCATGGTGCCTCCAGCTGTATTTTCTTTGCCCAAACTGGCGAATGCTCCTGCCGAACAGACAGCACCAAGGAACATCCAGCTGAGGGCCCAGAGCCTTGGCCTTTTTCTGCTTGTTTTTTTCATCAATTTCACCTTTGCCTTCTGGCGAGTTATCCAAGGTCACACCGAGCCAAACAGTGCAGCCAGAAATAAAATTCAGATCAGCTGGCTCCCAAATTGGTACCTGATCTAAGTGGAGGGAGCAGGTTTGCCGCAGATTCTCTGAGAGTCTTAATCAAGTGTAGCTTATAAAGCCTGCTGCTTCCCTGGTATTTAGGAGACAATGCCGTGTAGTAAGACCCACAGGAAAAGGTATTTTTAAAAAAGGATGGGAAAATACAAGGCGAGCCATCTGGATTTCTAATTAACACAGCAAAGCGAGCTGAATTCAATTCTGGACTGGGACTCAGTTAAGCTACATCACAGTGGAGTCAGCATCCGCCAAGGAAGAAGCAAGCAGCCTGCTGTCTGATGGCTCGGTAGAGGGCACAGCAAAGCGAGGAAGCTGCAGGAAATACCGATGTCTTTGGCATAAAACCCATGTTCTGCTCTCATGAGAAGCCCCTTGGAAATGAACAAGACCAATGCTAAATTCCAAGTTACAGAGTTAACTGGAAGCCAAGTCCCTGTAGCCTGCAGCGCTGAAGAGCAGGAGCCAGGCAATTAAAGAGGAGAAAAAGGGACAGGAAACTTAGATCGGTCACAGGCAGAACCTGCTGTCTGGTGTTGGGAACCCCATAGGCACTTCCTTCCTGGGATGGAACAAGCCAGGTCTGTAAGGGAAAGGGCAGAGTAGAGAGAGAGACTGCCTAGACTCCCAGGAGTTCTCCGTCCTTCCATCAGATGGGGTGAGAAGGGAAACTACCCTGGGAAAAAGTAAAGACACAAGCTATCCAGTGGATCCTTCCTTAGGATTCAGGGCTTGGCCCTCCCTGTGATTCTCACCCACAGGAAACCTGAAGCTCTTGGATCATGGTCTACTTCATTTTTTTTGGTATGTCCAGGTCTTTACCTGTTGTCCCAAGCGACATCAGAAAAGTGTCTGGGTGGGGGAAGTGGCGTGGGCTATGTATCACCAAGATTCTTAGGAGGTATCGTGTGAAGAGATCTTTTTAAAAGAAGGGTCCCAAACAAGTGACAGCAGAGCTGGACTGTGGCTCAGTGGTCAAGAGCTCTCGTCACTTTTCTAGAGGACCCGAGTTCAGTTCCCAGCACCCGCATCAGGTGGCTCATCACCCCTGTAGGGGACCCTAATGCCCTCCTCTGGGGACGCCTGAATACACAAGACAGATATTTCAACACAGATATAAATAAAAGTAAACATTAAAAGTTTAACACACACACACACACATCACTTTGCTGACATTCCCCACCAAAACCATTTTCAGACATAGTGGCTGATACCTCTAGTCTAGTTACTTCAGAGGCTGTGGCAGGAGGATTTCTTGAGGCCAGTCTGGACAAGACAATGAGACTCCAAGAACATTCGTTTGCTCTCTCTACTCCATCCTTTCCTTACTGACCTGGGTTTGCTCCATCCCAGGAAGGAAGTGCCTATGGGATTCCCAACACCTGACAGCAGGTTCTGCCTGTGACTGATCTAAGTTTCCTGTCCTTCTTCTCCTCTTTAATTGCCTGGCTCCCGCTCTTCAGTGCTAAAGGCTACAGGGATTTGGCTTCCAGTTAACTCTCCGTGTGCAGCCATGGAACTTGAAATTTAGCAAACTCTCTTTGCCGTCTTTTATGACCTTTTATGTTTCCTCTCTTTCTGAAGATACAATTTCACTGAGATATTAATTATCTCTCATCTTAAGCAAAAGCATTTGGGTGTGTATGCATTTTGTGTGTGTGTGTGTGTGTGTGTGCATCTGAAGGTGTGCATGTGAGTACGTGTGCATATGCATGCATGTGGAAGCCTGCCAGAGGTAGACTTAAGGTGTCTCTATCAGTTTCCCCCTTATTCTTTAAGGCAGGGTCTCTCATTGAATCTAAAGCTCACTGACTCAGCAGAACAGCTGACCAATGTCAGGACCAATGGAAACTCCATTTCCCCAAATTCTGGCAGTTAGACAAAAGCCAGCATTCCTCAGGGAACTTGCGAAGCTGGAATCATATCCCTTATCACTGGCAAAGGGACAAATGGCTACCGTGGTGCCTATTAGCACACCAAAGCACATGCTGACCACCAGGTTTCCTCAGCATCACAAGTACCTGTTACACACTGGCATCCTGGTTCTTCTCACCTCCCCTCCTACCCTAAACTTCCCCAGCTGAGGAGCTTCCTTCCCCAGGCCAGCTACCCATTCTCCCTGTAGCCTGCTGTTCCCGCTCTGCTCCCTTGTCTGCCCTCACTGTCTTCACCTCTCCCTTTGGGTTAAGAAAAGCCCATACCTCAACTTCTGACAATGAAAACAGGATTGTCTTATCCTGCCAAGACAGGGTAGGATAGTTCTAAGAAAGCTCCTTGCCTTTAATAATGGTATGTCAGTTATGTTAGGCCTTAGCCCAAGTTGGTTGACTCAACATTGCAAACGAGACTTTGGGTGATTGCCCAGGTAGTCAGTTGTCTCTGTCAATTGTTGCACATTTTGGATATATCTCGTTTGTTAAGTAATATTTATTCCCTTCTCAGATCTTTGACGGAGTTGAAGATTATACAATTGTAGTACTCTCTACATTATTTAGATTCCTTGAGATAGAATGTTTAGCAAAACTTTTGTTCTCAATATTGTTTGTTATATTTATTATTTGTTATTATTGTCTATAGTTGTATTTGGTTTAGTTCTGTCTTATTTAGACAAAAAGGGATAAGTCCCGCCCCTTAGGGGGTGTGTTTGCCTCGGACTAATGTTTATCTATAAATCTGGCGAGCGTGCTCCCAGCCGTTGCTTCTGCTTTCCTGGTTTCCGAAGGAAAGGTGGTTCTGTAAGTCTATTTCCCCATTAAAGCTGTATATATTTTTACAATCTATCTGCATTCATTTACGCCATTACATTTCCCTCCCCCTCAGTCCCCTCTCTGTTGCTGCTCTGCTCCTGCCTCTCCTATGGCCAGGTCCAGTCTGCTGGCCAAGTACAGTCCACTATTTCTCTGCTCTGGACCCTTCCAGATATCTCTGGCTGTTCTCTCTCTCAGATCTACAATAAAAACCTTCCCCTTAACCATACCATGGAGCGGCCACATCAGTTTACAGGACCAGCAAATCCCAGGGATGCTGTCTCCACTTCCTCGGCACTGGGATGCAGGCATGTGCACCATGCCTGGCTTTTCACTCGGGTTCTAGGAGTCTGGACTCAGGTCTCCCCGCGTGAATGACAAGTGCATTCCCAATTGATTCATCTCACCAGGTCCCCAAAAGACTTTTTAAACATTTGTTTTTATTGTTATAGTAGGTGTGTGTGCGCGAGTGTGCCTGTATATGTGTGTGGGGGTGTGAACACAAAAGTAAAGATGCCCGTGGATTCCAGAGGCACTGGACTGCTCTGGAGCTGGAGTTACGATGGCTGTGAGCAGCCATGCAGGTGCCATGAACCAAACTCAGATCCTCTAGAAGAGCAGTAGGCACTCTTAACCACTGAGACATCTCTCCATGCTTCCAAAAGCTTTTTTTTTTTTTTTAGTATTAATAAAAAGCAGGCTGGGCATGGTGGCAGATCCTGTAATCTGATGACTGTGAGTTAGCTAACTCGTCTGGGCTGTGTACAAAGTTTGAGGCCACATGGACTACGTAGTAAGACATTATCTCAAAATAAATAATGAAATAAAGATGACTAAACAAGATCCCCTTCCGCCAAGGAGGGAAGGAAATTGGGTAAGCACGCCGCAGGGACAGTGGATGATCAGTTCTCAGGTGACTCTTAGATGACCCTCCAAACATTCAAGGAGACTCAACAGCCTAGCTGAGCTAGGAAAAGGCCACATGAAGATGGCTTGCCTTCTGCCAACTAAAGGTCAACTGAACTGCTCTCGACCAGCTGCATTTAGACAGGAAGAGACACAGTTGTAGGCGGGGTCCATCCTGCTGCTCTTTGTTTGTTAGCAAGGCACCATAGACAGCTGGGCGCGCTAGTGAGCGGCAGTACCTGGAACACCCCCCAGAACTTACCCTCTGGGTCTGTACCCTTAAGGGAAGGGTAATGCGGTGACCAGGCCTTGATCTGTTCATAATTCCTAACGGGCCAGAGGACGTGACTTCATCCTCAGGTTATTTCATCAGCCATTGTTCAAAACAACCTAAATTAAGACCAATGCTGCCATGAACATAGTTGAGCATATACTTTTGTTGTATGATAGGGCCTCTCTTGGGTATATTCCCAAGAGTGGTATTGCTGGATCCAGGGGTAGGTAAGACAATGGGGATGTTCTATTGGGAACTCACCAAGGCCAGCTGGCCTAGGTCTGAAAAAGCATGGGATAAATCCGGATTAGCTGAACATAGCAGACAATGAGGAATACTGAGAATTCAAGAACAATTGCAGTGGGTTTTTGATCCTACTGCACGTACTGGCTTTGTGGGAGCCTAGGCAGTTTGGATGCTCACCTTACGAGACCTGGATAGAGGTGGGCAGTCCTTGGGCTTCCCACAGGTCAGGGAACCCTGATTGCTCTTCGAACAGATGAGGGAGGGGGACTTGATCGGGAGAGGGGGAGGGAAATGGGAAGCGGTTGCGGGGACGAGGCAGAAATCCTTAATAAATAAATAAATTAAAAAAAAAAAAAGACCAAGAGGTGACCCTTGACAGGGTCCATGGCAGATACAAGCAGCAAAATCCAAGAGAGTCTATGAAGTTTGAGAGGAAAATCCCTGTCAGATCTGAGACCCAGGAATCAGAAATACACATAGCACACACAAGAAGCCAAGTCTAGATACAGAAAACTTTAATCAACAATTATGAAAACAATACACTCAAAACATTAAATATAGGAATTTTCCATTGTCACTGCCACCACCACCAGTCTAGAAATAAAATGATCCACTAATCTCAATGTTCCTGGTGGGAGATAAAAGATTTAGGAAAATGTTTTCCATAAACACAATTCTTTTTACCCCAAGTCTAGACTCCACACAGGGAAAAGACAAGTTTGCACTCAATGGGATTTATTCAGCCACCGTTGTAACACAGCTCATCTCTATGTAATAGCTTCCCTTACTCTCCCCTCCCACTGGACTCAATGAGCAGAGGAAACAATGCTCTACTATACATTTATCAGACAAAACAAGTTAAAGTTTAACATGAGTGAATTCTATATTATTATATTTAAAACATGTATCAAAATCACATCTTTCCTGTAAAAGGGGCTGGCAGTCCAGCAGCAATGCAGGGCTGCCTGATGGCCGCCCTGGGATGTGCCCTGCCTTCCTCATGCAAACCAACGAAGGAGACCGATTGTACAGACTGCCTACTTTCTCAGTCACCTTGACACGGATACACAAGTCTAAAAGGAAACAACCCCAACTACAACAGTCATTCAAGTATTGAGAGAAGTATGCATGGACAACGGGGGAGATGCCTAGAAAGAAGAGGGGCTCCAATACTTCGCATGAACTTAGCTAGCAGAGACTATTAGATCCTAAATGCCGAATGCCTCTAACAATGGTTCTGGTGAGAAGGTAGGTAGTCTAGCCAATTCGCCTCCAGGCACTGCCGCAGTGACCACTGGTGGCTTTAAAATGTGTCCTTTCTGTCCTTTCTTAAACCAATAGTGGACCTACACATTGGAGCCAGGAAGTCATTACTGCCAGAGAGCTCCCAAAGGACTGTGCACACAGCTTCCCGTGTGCTGTTTATGTACCCACTGTGCTGTTACACATATTCGGGGCTATAAGGAAAATCTGGCAATATACCAAGCTGAAAGAATCGCCATCCCCAATCATATTCTACACATGTCTTCATTCTTTTGAGGTGCTTCCCAATTCAAATGGTAGAAGAGAACAATACGGGCATGGGCTCTAGATGCTAAATTGTGCTCACTTTCTCTCAGCCAAAGCTGGGTGAGACAACAGAGACAAAGCGCAGTGTTGAGAGTTAGGAAAAGGTTCTGGGTGAACAGCTTGGGGAGTGATCTTTCCCCATGAGGAACCATGGAAAAAGCAATGGGAAGACGATCAGACAGGCAGCTCCTTGTCTAATACTTAAACACCTAGACAGCACCACGCCTGGGTGTTGTCTTACCTCTGCTAGAACACCGACGAGCAAGAAGCTGGTGCTGTCCACTTCATCTTCAAGACAGCAAAGCAGGTAAGCGGAGAGACACACAAAGCCATGGGCACAACTCTAAGTTGGACGGCTGCTCAGGCGTTGGAAACTGTCAGTCACTACTCTAAAGAGACCAGACTTCTTCCCAGCATCCCATACTCTCCACAATCATTCAAAACAGAGATACCCAACTACTAAGACATGTGGATTTTAGGGATCACCATGGAACAGCTATAGGTGTGTGTTGGGGGAGGGGGAGCATGGACAGACACAGATAAAGCCTCTTAGGAATGATCACTGCAGGCCCTGGAAAACAAAGAGAAGATAAACATTTTGGGGGCAGGAACCACAGAGCAATGGGGGCTGAACTGTGAGCTGGTGACCACGGGCAGCCGTGGTCAGCTCACCTGTGGGAGGTAGGTGAGAATGGTGGAAACTGCAGCCCTCTGTCTTGGTCTCTCTTCTGCTAGCTTGGCTGCCAGCATGGCAGACAATGTCTTTGTTTCCTTCTTCTTGGAGCACCAGGCGCTGCTTCAGGGTTTTAAATGCCTCCCCCCTTTCAGAAGACCAACAAAGGGACATGCTCATTGACAGACAATAATGTCAAAACTCAAGGGCCAGTTCTCCAAATGGGGAGCACAAACTATAATCATCTGACCTGATCACAAACATGTGAACTTTAAAGACCGCCTGGCTTCGGTAATGAGACTCAACCCATTTGGTTTTAAGTGGCATCTCTCATTGCTGTATATTAAAATGGCAACAGTATTGGTCTTAACAAAACTGTAACTGACAGAAGCAGAACAACACATAACCAACCTGACAGCTGGTACTTCTTTACATATGCAGCTGCATCTTTCCCGCATCTGTTTCAGAAGTATCCAATATTTATATTTAGCGGCTAGAAGACAGGGGGCCAAATCCGCCTGCAATGAGAGAGCAAAGCTTTGACCAGAGCCTGGAAAGCAGGGTCAGTGAAAGTCTATCAAGTACTCGGGGTAGATCTGGTTGGCATCAAACACCACAAAGATCTTTGGGTTCCAGGTGTCATCCACACAGCTGTCATACAAATTCACGTAGCTCCCATCTTTGGAAGGAGGTCGCATGTATTTGGAGTCTCCGTTTATGTAATCCCCAATTAGTACTCGAGCAAGGAACATGGATTTATAGGTTCTGAACAGATGTCGCTGCTGCACGCTGACCCCGTGAATCTGGAACGTGTTACCATGCTTGATGTCATCTTTGCAGAAGCGACTGGAGTACGCGGCATCTCTAGCAAAATAGGTTCCTGTAACGGAAAGGGCCAAAGTTACTTGGGAGAAAAGACGAAATGCAGGGACAACATTCTGACTGACAGGAGAACAGACACGAGTCATACCACAGGGACAGATGTGGGACCTCCTCCTCTGCACACCTAAAAAACAGGGCACAATTCCCACGCTCACCACATGAGGCAACTATGGGTTACCAGGCCTTACTAGTGCCCTCCTGTGCCTTGGATAAACTAAGTGCCACACTTGTGTTTCCAAGAGAGTTTGCAAGGAAATCCAATAAACAAAATACAAAACCATCCCATGGTGAGAAGTGCGGCAGGTCTGGATTTCACCGGAGGTCGTCTTCCCAGCTGTACCCTTCCTCAGCCTGTGCCCTGTACACCTCACCCAGCATCCAGCCAAAGTCTGCTCTGCCGGAGGAGCTCACACCCAAGAAGCCACGGCAATGACATGGGGGCAATCCAGAAGGAACTCTAGAAGCGGGAATGAAATTCTGAAACTGTACAAAGCTGTGCCTTGGCTCTTCAGTCTCCCTGGGCCTGAGTGTCACAGGCTTAGTCTTCCAGGAGCTTGGTGCTAAGGAGAGGTGTGGGACTTAGAGGTGAGACGCCTTAGAGGAAATTAGGAACCGCAATCCAGAAGGAACTCTAGAAGCGGGAATGAAATTCTGAAACTGTACAAAGCTGTGCCTTGGCTCTTCAGTCTCCCTGGGCCTGAGTGTCACAGGCTTAGTCTTCCAGGAGCTTGGTGCTAAGGAGAGGTGTGGGACTTAGAGGTGAGACGCCTTAGAGGAAATTAGGAACCGCAGGCCTTCCTCATACTTTTCATGGTCTAGCTACCAGGAGGGGCCAGTTCACTTTATACAACATGCTCTGCCATGATGGTCAGACTCAAAGTAGTTCCGCAGTGCCAATGTAGCATAGGCTGAAACATCTGAAGTTGTGGAGTCTGAGTGAATCCTTCCTCTTCTGAAGCTGTCTCGGGGTTTTGCTATATAGAAAGAGGAAACTAGCGAGCACATTGTTCCTGTCTGAGCATTCCAGAACACTGCCAGTTGTTGTCGTGAACACTCAATAAGACAGCCAACTCTCAGGAAATGATTGACACAATCAATCAAGTACCTGCTTCTAAGAAATTGGGACATAAATAGAAAAGTCGCATAACCACCTAATATCGATAGAACTGGTGTAGGACTTTTCTGAGCTCTCACAGCTGAAGTGAGCAGCATTTACGGTAATTATCCTTAAATTAATTCACTGCTTCAAAATTAGCTCCTCCTAATCCTAAATGGGAGTCATCTCTCTTGCTGGAAGTGAGGCACAAAGGATGAACCATGAGAACAAATGCCTGCCCCTTGCCCTCCTCGGCTCTCTCCCTATCCGCTTGAGGCATGCCACAGAGAACCAGGACATGTACAACACTAGAAATAAGATGGAGTTTTGCCCACTTTCCCCCTTCAGTGCATGCTGATATTCTTACCTATCATTTTCTAAAGCAAAACAACCAAACACCAGCCACTAGTCAGTATAGTGGAGGGTAATAACATGTTTCTATCACTCTGTGCATTTGCTATGGAGCAGTTCCCTGTATGTAATTAACATGTTTCTATTGCTCTGTGCTTTCGCTATGGAGCAGTTCCCTGTGAAGGCTCATCCATGGGAAGGGCTGACTTGGACACCACAGATACTGCAGGGCTTCTCTAACATAGAGCATCCTATCAGGATGATGGGAACCCAGGGATCTGCTGAATATGGCAGATGTGCAAGTCTCGCTTCCACCCTGTCTAAAGCCGATAATCTGGTAATTTTTAGTTTCATCACGCCCAACTCTGAATCAGAAAGCAACCAATCTTCCCTAAAGAGTGGGCACGCTCTCCTGTGACTGAAGCTGGACCTGAGATTCGGATGTTACCTTTTCCAAAGACAGCACCGTGTACACCATTGATTCTCCAGTCAAAGTTGTGAATGCAAATCGCTTCCACAAACTCACTGCTGGTGCCGTGGAACAGCATTTGCTCATTGATCTGGGGGACTCCTCTCTTCTTCTTGAGCTGAGCCTTCTTCCTAAAATCACAAAACATCAGGATACAAAAACACAGAAAAATACACTACTGAGTGCTATTTATTAACTTAAAAGGTTAAAGGGCAAAGTTCAAAAGAAAAGGTGAAACAACAATATAAATCATATAATGTAAATGAGTAGATAGAACAATTCTAGCAAAGAAATTGTTTCAAATGCTCTTGGATACATAAAAATCATATGACAGCGATCAGCTAGGTCTGGTACTTAATGCCTGTAATCCGGATGTACAGGAGACAGAGACACAGCTGGGTGGGCCGTGGTGGTGCAGCCTTTAATTCTAGTGCTTGGGAAGCAGAGGCAGGTGGAGCTCAGTGAGTTCAAGGTCAGCCTGTGCTATAGAGCGTGTACCAGGACAGGCTCTGGGAAACCTTGCCTTGAAAAAACCAAACAAAACAAACAAACAAAAAAGAACAAGAGTCAGAGACAAAAATGATCAAGAATTCAAGGCTATGCTAGGCTAAAAAAAAATGAGGTTAGCTCAGGTTGCATGAAACTGTTTCAAAAAACATACAAACAAAAAGAACAAACCAAACCAAACTGTTACAACGTGCATCCATCCCAACAGCGAGCTAGAACCCACCTCCACATCCACTGACTGGCCAATGCCATTCCTCAATACACAACCGTTCCTCTCTTTTATAATTCCATAGATAACCACCCTCCAAAAGCTATGAGCTTTGTTCCCTAGGGAATACACATTATCTCCCCAGCTATTCCTCACTGTTTAGTAAAGCTTCCAGCCCCTTCTATACAGCAAACATCTTTACTTAACCAGAATTTGCTGGATACCTCTTAGTTTACAAACGCAGGTAGGGAGCAGATCCTTGTGTGACCAGAGACACCGCACTGTGAACGGTGCCATCAAATGGCTTCCATACTATGTGCAGCCAAATAAAATTCTCAGGGTTTTTCAAATCAGACTGTTCCCAGCTAATCGAACAACTGACAGGTAAACCTAATGCTCTGACATATTTCAGCTTCAAATGTAAAAATTAATTAACAAAGCAAAACACCCATATTATAAATTGACAAATTTTATCAAAACAGGCAGCTAAAGCACATGCATTCAAGTGGTGACAGCAATGAAATGCATATTCCTCTGGAGTCATTGAGCAATATATACCAAATTTCAGTGCATGGGCTTTGATCTAGGGCGACTGTCTAGACCACTGCTCATATTAGAAGGGCATGCATCAAGCGGCTCTCTCATTCAGTTTTCCACTAAGAATTTCTTCCTAGTTTCTTCTTCTAGGACTGTGTGTATTAACTGTCTCACTGATTTTTAACAATGCACATGTAATTCCCACTCAGAATTCAAGCTGCCTTTTTTTTTTTTCTGAGACAGGGTTTCTCTGTAGCTTTGGAGCCTGTTCTGGAACTAGCTCTTGTAGACCAGGCTGGCCTCGAACTCACAAGAGATCTGCCTGCCTCTGCCTCCCGAGTGCTGGGATTAAAGGGGTGCGCCACCACCATCTTCAAACTGTCCTTTCCTTTTTGGTTTTGAATCTTTCCTGTGACAAGCAAACCCACACTCATTTAAGTGCCTGATAACACTGAGGGGATGAAGCAGCAAGCAAGCGTGACATTAAAGTTTCTGCAAAGACCTCCAGCCACCTATGACTCATTTTCTTTGTACCATCGCCTGGAATATATTGTTTCCATCGTAAGAAACTTTCTCAACCACTTTAGAGAGGTCAAGTTAGATTATCCAAAAGGCTTTCCCATACACCACAATGCTAAACTTACTGAGTTTGGTATTCATTAATCCATATCATGGTTGTTTTGTTAAAGCAAATACCTGATTAATACATTTACTTCTCAGATCAAGTTATTGAGGTGTAATGACTAGATTCCACTCTAAAAACTAAGCTATTTAGGGCTAGAGATGGGCTCAGAGGCTAAAAGTACTAACTTCTCTCACAGAGGACTCAGTTTCTGGTCCTAGCACCCCACCGGGTGATTCATAATCACAATTCCAGATCCATGTGCTCTGATGCCCTGTGGCCTCGGAAGGCTTCTTACACACGTCATTCCACCCCAGACACAGGTTAAAGGGAATCATGGTTTGGAATGTGTATCTCACAGCTATTAGAAACCATGGGGTAAAGAGTCCGGTGTAGAATATTCCTCTACACCGTGTAAATATGTCACTGTGATTGGCTGAATAAAGAAGCTGACTGGTCAATAGCTGGACAGTTAGGGGGAAAGCGAAACAGAGACTGCTGGGAAGAAGGGTGGAGTCAGAGAAGTTAAACTTTCAAAGAAAGACCTAAGATTGCAGTAAATGCTTCCCAACTTTGTCCACCGAATTAGACCACATTCTCTTCTCAATCTACACAAAGTGCTGTGGCACCCAGCTCTCAAAGATGTCTCAATAGACCCATCCTCTAAGGATCAAGGTTCCAAAAATCCCAGTCTCTGGCTCTTATACACTGTCTCTGAGCAGCAATGCCTCCACGCTCTGGACTAAGATCATTCACCTGGGTTTAGACCAGTGGTCTTCCATTCTGAAGAACATGAGAAACACCATAGAACCACGGGTTCTGAGTCAGTGGATGTGGATTAGGTGACGGATCCCTCTACCTGTTAAAGAGTCCCAGAGAGGGCTCTGATACATAGCCAGGTCAAAGCCCACTTCCTCATCAAGACAGGGCTCTCACTGTTCCAACACCCTGGCTACTCTGACTGCTCCAGCCATCTCTATCTTGCTGTTCTTCCACTGTTCCTCTTAAGTAAGTACCACGCAACTCCTCTTGACTCCTCCAGACACTCACATGCTCCACCTTCACCTTCGACTTAACCCTCAGTGTGGGAAATCCTGTGGTCCCGGCTCTTCTGTTCTACTTCCCACAGTGGCCACTTCAGTTTCTCCTTTTTCTATCCCTTTTATGTACATCTCCACAGTGCTTCACTCTATTAGGTGACTTCACTTATTTGCCATGGAAACCGAAAGGATTAAAGAGTCTGTGGGCTAGCCAGGCTTTCATCTCTACGTAAGTCTAACTGGACACGTGTCTACCTCTTCTCTGACACATGGCTACTGAATCTCATCCCATTATGCTTAATCCATCAACTGCCCATCCCCCTTGTCCTGTTTTCTCACCTCTCCTTTTCTATAAGTCTCTTCCAATTATAACGTTAACCATTAAAGAACTAATAATAATAATAAACCCCAATGAAACACTACTCTTCTCCCTACCCACTCCTCATTCCCTCCACCTCCCAATGCCAAGCTCCCTAAAGGAGTTGCCAACCTTCCCTCATCTACACAACACGACAGCCTACACTATCTTCCCTTTCGTCACGGTTTGGTGCACACCCCAAGGACATGCCCAGTGTGCATCTTCCCTGGCACTTCTTCAGGATGCGACCCTGCAGCTTATCCCTCTGGTTCCATTAGCTTCTGCAACTCCACACTCTACTGCTTTCCTTGGGTTTTCTTTCCTCAGCTCATCCTCGCCAGAGTTTGGTCTCTTTCTTTTTTTCTTTTTATTTTCCTTTGGTTTTTTTCAAGACAGTAATTTTATGTGTAGCCCAGGCTATCATGGAACTAACTTTATAGACCAGGCTGGCTTCAAACTCACAAAGATCCACCTGCCTCTGCCTCCCATGTGCTGAGATTAAAGGCGTGTACCACCACTGCCTGGCTTTTTAAAAAATATTATTATTTATTTAAGTGTACATGTGTGTATGTCTATAATGGATATACCTGAGGTTAGGGTCATCCCCTGGAGCTGGAGTTACAAGCAGTTGTAAGCTGCATGGTGTGGGTGCTGAGATTAAACTCGAGTCCTCTGCAAGAACAATATAGGCTCTTAACCACTGAGCTATCTTTCCAGCCCCTGGTCTTCTCTTAATATATATACCCAGACTCTGGTCATCTTATCATTCCTGGTTGCTAATACCCTGTATCTTCTAGCCTTCATCACTAGTCTAAGTCAATTTCCTGATGCAATCAAAAGTATCTCCTCAGATGTTCCTGGTAGGAAAACCCCAGATGAGAGTCACTACTTTAAAACTTTTCCTACAGTATTGCCTGGTGAATTATCATTCTAAACACTCTGTCTCTGCACCCCATCCCCAAGTTTTAGACGTTCCACCATTTCAGAAAAGAAACAAAACAACAATAAACACGACCAGTTTAGCTTACAAAGGGCTGCATGAAAGACACCTGCTAATTTTAATTTATGGCTGGACAATCTGACTCAGCTATGGAGGGAAGTTGCACAGTCAGTGGCACTATTAGCTCCTATATACTGGCTTCTTGGCTAGGTTTCTAATGCTACTCATCCAATGTTCTTCTATCTGAAAATTCTCTGAATTTGCTGTGTTCCAATTTTTAGATAAATTTTGACCCATGATACACCCATGTCTAAGATGCCCTCTTCCCCCTAGCCCATGTCTAGCATAAATAACACCAGCTTTAGGAAGTTCTCCTTAGTACCCACATTCATTACACATACCCTCCTTTAGGGCAAGGGTGAATCGACACCCTCGCTTTGTGTTCCCATGATAACCTATGCTCACCCATACACCTTGGATCAGCAGTGGCCTGGTTCTTTGACCTACAGACCTATATACACCATCAAATCCCAAGTACCTAGAATACTGCCTATCACAAAGTGAGGGCTAAGACTACTTGCTGAGAAGAGGAAGGAGGGAAGTAAGAAAGGAATTATAATACGCAGCAGGGTGGACTCACTCTGGGCCTGGCTATCCAGATAATGAGTCACAGCTTGCATGCCAATGAGACCAGTGAGGCTATTTTAGCTCTGCAAGAAGATGTCAGAGTGACAGGCTGCCTATACCACAAGCCTCAGTATTTTGCACTGTCATGGCAGGTGTCTGTGGGCTGACATTAAGGAAGATCACAAAGGGTATAAACCAGAGAAAATATCTACTAGATTCTTGTATTAAATGGTATAGGACTCAGCACTATTATTTTTATGCTTTTACTGAGAGCTCTGAGTATGAAGGAGACCAATATGAACTCCAGTTCAGAGGCCTGAATTAAGAATAATAATAACGGGGGCTGGAGAGATGGCTCGGCAGTTAAGAGTAGTTGTTTCTCTTACAGAGGACCTGCTTCAGGTCCCAGTACCCACATGGCAGCTCACAACCACCTATAGCTGCAGTTCCAGGGGATCTGACCCCCTCTGACATTCATGGGCACTAGGTGTACATGCAGTGCACATATGTACAAGCAGGCAAAAACTCAAACACATAAAATAAATACATCTAATAAATAAGTTTTACCAGCTCACCTTAGAAAAATTAGTTTAGTCATTGAAAGAACAAAATCATAGGGAGCAGAGGCGTCTATTTTCCCCCAAATAAACTGAATAAAACCTTCTAAATTTAGGTAAATTCAGTGACTGTCAGAAATATAAGGTTTTTGGTTGAATACTCAAGACTATAAAAAGCACAAGCTGAAGAGCACAGGCACTGTTATTATAACTTCTTACAAGGATAACTGGAACAAACTGAGGCCCAGAGAGCTGGGACCCCATGGGAGAATTCCATATACCATTACTGTGAATGGTTAGCTTTGATGAGGACTTTGCACAATGTAGAGTCACCTGGGGATGGAGTGTCAGTGAGGAACAGTTTAGGTTAGGTTGGTCTGTGGGCATGCCTTTGAGGAATTTTCTTGATTAGCTGGAATGGCCCATTGTGGGTGGCACCATTGACTAGGCAGGAGAATTCGGTTAAGAGTAGAGAAAGTGACCTGAGCATTAGCAAGCATTCATTAATGCAGGACTTGAGTGTGGACGTAACGTGACTAGTTGCTTCAATATTCTTACCTTCCTCACCACCTTGACTTCCCTGAAATGATGGACTGTAACCTGGAATTGTGAGCCAAATAAACTCTTTCTCCCTTAAGTTGTTTTGGTCAGGATATTTTACCATAACAACAGGAAACAAAACTGTAAAAATCACCAAAGGAAAGTCAGTCTAATTCTCAAGTATATGCAAATGAAATGGGGGACAGGCTGGGAATGAATGGCCTTAAATACTTTCCGATAATAGAGCAATGATCATGCATGGTTAGTCTGTTTTGGGCACATGTTTATTTGTTTGATGTTTTTTTGAAACAGGGCCTTACCATAAAGTAGGGCAAGCTGGCCTCGAACTTGCTCTGTAGCCCTTGAACTCACAATCCTCCTGCTCTAGCTTGCTGAGCTGGCAGCTGTGTGCCTCTCATCTGGACTGTGCAGCACACACTGACAGATGTTAGGATCACAAGCACACACAGGGCTTATTACGGCAGAATTCTACTTCTGTGTTAATATGATATTTTTCTGAATAAGTCATTAAAAGTTTGTAATAAACTGGGTGGCATACGCCTTTAATCCCAGCACTGAGGAGGCAGAGGCAGGTGGATTTCTGTGAATTCAAGGCCAGCCTGGTCTACGAAGAGTGAGTTCCAGAACATGTTCCAAAGCTACAGAGAAACCCTGTCTCAAAAAAACCAAACCAAACAAACAAAAAACTCAAAAAATTATAATAAAAATACCAGAAATCAAATCTTGTCTACAATTTTTTTATTTAATATATTTTAGAGAACCACTTATTTAAGTATTATTTATTATAAAAATACAACATAACAGGTTAATTTGGGTAACAAGTTTTAGGTAACAAGCTTTATTTTTAGGTTAAAGGCACACAGAGAAAACTAACAGTCATTTCTAACTTAGATTTCGTAATGAATAGAGATTGTTAAACCCACAGCATAAACTCCAAGTGAAGAAGAAACAGAAATTTGAAGGTAAATTTTAAAGTGTTCTTTCAAACAAAATAAGCAACGAGCTACTGGAAGTATAGTGTCAACTGACTGTTTTTTAAGTCAGTATTTCCAGAGATTTCTAATGCAATCTAAAGGGCTGAGGCAAGCTGCCTTGCAAAGCTAAAGACCTCCATCTCAACCAAGATGCAGTTTTGGACCTAGCAAAGATAGAGCTTCTCCCACTGTGCTAACTGAATGTATCCCAGAGAAGACTTTGCCTACTCTCTGAGGACAGAGACGAGGGCAGAGGCCAGCAAGGGGCTGGAGAGGTGCTCAGTAGTTGAGAGCACTCAGTGCCCTTGCAGGACCCACATAGTGGCTCACAACTTCTGTAAACTGCAGTACCCAGGGACAGAATGCCTCTCTGAACTCCTCAGGCACCAAGTATGCACATGGTGCACAGACAAACACACAGGAAAAACAGTCATACTCATGAAATAAATCAATGTAAAAAAAAAATTAAGGCATGGCAAGAGAAGAACAGCTTGTCTGTGGCTGAAAACGAATCCAGCTAAGCTCTGTGTGGAGCCATGCCTACAGCCTGGAAGAGAGACAAGGAGGAAAGGGGGACAAGGAACCCACTCACCTGCAAAAGAACTCCCATAAGTCTAAGTTTTGAATCCTTTGAATCCTTTTAATTCGATTCCGATCCATTGTTTTACCAAAGAGATTGGCAACTTCGTTATATTCATGCGTTTGGTTCTGCAGGGAGACCAGCTGGGAGAAGAAGTTTGCAGAGTTTAGCAGTGGCCTTCCCATCTGCCCCAGGACGGCCTACTGGCCTGCTCTCACCTGGTAGGGAACTTCTGTATTCACGTTCTCCCAGTGTGTTGGCATGGGGATGGCCTCATTTTCACAGATGTAACTTCAAACAGCAAAAGGCAGAGCAGAGTATCAGAAGGATTATAATTAGTGTCGGTGCTTTAGCCTTTTCTCCGCGCCTCAGTTTTTCGTTTGCAAAGTATTTATGACAAACAGGATAAAGTTTAACCTTTGGCTTCACTTAGAAATATTTACTGAAAGTCTACTTTCCTAACTTTTAAACGCTGAATTATAAATTTTGACAGGAATATACAAATCTACATAGCTTCAACACTTCAGAAACCATTAATTCAATTTCCTTTGTTGAGATTTCTATAAAATGTGAAGAAAATTTTAGCCAAAGAAAGGAATTTCTAAGAAAAAGTACGCTGATTTAAAAAAAAAAATCCAAAGCGTTTATTGATATTACTACTGAATGAAACTGGAAACTCTACCAGTCATTGCTGTTTTCCAAGATGGCTCAATCATCCCCACCCTCTGTCCTCTATGACCTAACTCAGCCCTCTTCTCTGCCTTCTGTTTCCTTAGACATTGCACTCTGACTTGCTCAGTGCAGTCACATTTGGCAGCAAATCTTTAAAAGCCATGCAATATGGTCAAGCCACGGGACACAAACAGCAAAATGCTAAAACAGGCACAATAACCTTCCTTGTAAATTAACAACCTTCAAACCTATCCTTAGCTCATTTTTGTCAAACTTTGTAATTCTTTTGGGAAAAAAACAATATAATATATAATTCTTAAAAGATTTTTATTTGTATGTATATGCATGTGTGTGCAAGTGTGCTATATATGTGCAGGTGGCTGCAGAAGGAGAAGAGGGCACCCAATGCCCTGGAGCTGGAGTCACAGTCAATTGTGAGCGGCCTACATGGGTGCTGGAAACCACTCAGGAAGGTCTTCAGTGCACCGACAAGTACAGAGTGGGAACCTTTCCTTCTGCTGCAGTCTGGGTTCTGGTCAGCTCTGGCTCTTCACTCCTCACAGCCATCTCTACACCCAGGTGTCCGCTAGAGCTCCCTTAGGTTCAGAAAGCCAAGTTTTGATCAACACAAATGGCAGCACAAAGCACACATTTTTGCCCCTATGTTGTTTTGGTCATTTGATCAATTCTCACTATGATCTTTATAAAAATGTATGCAATCTCCTCATTCCCAGGGACAAGGGGAATCCCAGCACATGGCAGACACTCAGCTAACATGCAACAAATAAATGCCTCCTCTGCTACACACACCCACAATTCCATCGTCTGTGCATGGACAGGGGAGCGGGAGCTGAAGTGAAGCATCTTCCTTAGGCCTCTTTTAGTCACTATGGACTTGACATGTCACCTAGGGACTGCCCAGTGGGGCTCTGCATTGGTGTAAGAGAAAAGTAGGCAGTTTCCTAGGATTCTGGGCCCCAAACAGAGACAGAACCATAATTTATTTAAATGCTTGCGTCTGGTGATACTTAGCTTGCTTCTAGCAACCTCTTCAGAGTCATGCTCTTCCATTTTTGAATTTCAGTCAGTTTGCTAACAAAGGAGTCTGGCATAAATTGATATTTTTCTTAATCATGTGTGTGATTATAGGAATATCAAATTGTTTTAGGAGAGTTCTAGAAGAACTTCAAATACTATAATTATTATTTAAGTTAACTTCAACCCTGAGTTGCACCCCCCCCCCCACTTAGTCCAATGTATCTTTCACTATGGAGGAAAGGTTCAAATAACTTGTATGGATCCACAGCACTGACAGAACGCACACTGGCCAGGCTTGTGATGAGCGCCCAGTGCTGCCCTACATTTAGCCTTTCTGCATGAGCACCTCCTGACCTTCATTCCCTTAGCTTTCACACTTAACTCCTCCCCTTTCATTACAGCCTCAATTGCTGTCCTCTGCTGCTTACTCCCCCTGCTCCTTCTGTTTTTGTTGTATAGTTTGTATAGCCTGAGAAAGAAGAAAATGCTTGACCCCAGCATGGATTTCTCACCAGCTTCAAAGGGAGACCAGTTAAACCAACACACAGATGTGAAATTCTTCCCGCTACTGTGTCTTATTGCCCCAGATTACACTCTTAGGAGATAAGAAATGCATTCTATTCCTGGCACTGTAGAACACAAACATGATGTAGGAAGTAAGAACATAGTCTGTGTCCCACAGATGCAGGAAAGCCTTTATTATCTTTTAAGTCGTGATATTAAAATATCAGTCAAATACCTTGAGAAAGGAAACTGAAAGCATTTCTCTCCTTGCTATCTCCTTCAGTTTCTTTCTCTACAGCTCTTTGGAAGGCGCATGAGGGCATTCCTTACAATTCATACACTGTCATTTTGTTTCCCAGCTGGGTTTCCCAGCTGGATCTTAAATTCTCTGAAGAGAAAGAACTCAACATTCGCCTGAGGAATCATTCTAGAAAATGGGAGACACACTCTTAAAGTGCTCTACTTGTTTTCCATTCCCATGCGCAACAGGTGTGTATTAACCTTTGGCACATAACAGTCCTTTTTTAAGTCTCTATATGGCAAAAGTAAGCAAAAGGAAAATGGATCCAGGGAAGATGCACTGCTGTCCCTCTGGTCGATGTGGACTGGCGCTGTACCTCAGAGATGCCCAACGGGGAGCTACTACATCAGTGCAGAGGCAGACCACGTGGGCAGTTCTCTAGGATTCATGGTAAATACATGGACTGTTCTCTGACAGTGTGTCCAGTTCAAATTCAAACAAGTTCAATAGGTCATTTTAAGGGTTTGTAACAAAAACCACATGGCATCTTGTAATTATCATGCACACTGGTCTAAGAATTGAAAAAAATATATACATATGACAAGAGAGAATGAAAGGAAACAATGGCAGAAGAGAGTGATTATTTAATCAGCAAATAAGAGGTTTATATTGCAAAAATTGCTATTAGTTCATGAGATGAATGTTAGTCTACCTGGTTTTCTGCCAAAGAGTAAGAAAAGCAGGGAGAGGAAATCCCACCCCTCGTGTACCCCATTTACCATACCTGAAGGCACTGATGGAGAAAGGAGCCCTTTTTACTAGGCGTTGTTTTCCAGTGACGAGGTTCATCTGCTTCATTTCTGAACACAAAGAGACAGATCAGATGAGCCGCAGAAACACACAGTGCTCCCAGGTCTCATGCACGTTAGGAGCCACAGTACAGGGCGGTCATGTGGCTCTGGGAGGAGACGACAGCCAGGTAGTTATGATCTTTCACCATCGACCTAGATGCTCACCTCACACCCTGCTCCACACGCATCACACCTCAGCTAAACTGGCACTAAAATACAAGACCAAAAGCGGCCAAGTTAAGAGCATAGAATGACATCATACTAATCTCCCATTGGATGTTACATGGGGAAATGCACTCTGGGATCCCTAAGAATCTGGAAATTAGAAAGGGACACATTTCCATGTAACATTTGCACAACTCACATAATTTGAAAACTGTGTTTCTTTAATCATCTTTTAACTGCACACCTAAACCAAAGGAAAAGGAAAAGAAAACCCAGCCAGAGACAACACGTATTTACACACCGACTCCCAGTGAAGGGGCCACTATCTAGTTAACATCTTCTGCTGCACCGCGGCCTTGGCAGTATTCCCGTTTATCCACCCATTCAAGCAGTAAATTCTAACAAATGTCACTGCATTTGTCAATTGTATGCTCTGCCACTCCTGTATTCTCCTCGATGCGACACACCAGGGAACTGCCACCATTCAGGGAAAAGCAAGATCACCTCAGGACCTGGCACAAAAATCTGTGGAATCATCTTCACAGCTGTCTCTTTTGCGTTTACTTTCCATGTCATTCAGAGAGAAGCTGGATAGTGGCGGGATGACTGGGTTAAAGGTCCTCCAACAGTGTATGGAAAACGCTAGTAGCTGCACCTTAAAACATCACCATTTATTCGTTTATGCCGCATACCACTGTCATAATTTAGTAAAGATATATATCTATATCTCATGTAGGCAAAAATGGCCTAAACACATTATGTCGCTGAGGCGGGCCATGAAGCTGTGATCCTCCTATTCACATCCTGGGTTTTGGGATTACAGGCATGCACTACCACACGTGGTTTAAGCTGTGCTGGGGTTTCATGCATACTGGGCAGGTACTCTACCAAGTGAACTACATTCTGAGCATCTACGAAAATATTTTGAATTAATCTTTTTTCCTGACAGGAATCTCCGAGAGAGTATAGTTCACTAGTGAATATTCTTAGTCAGGAGTGGGCTGCTGAATTACCTACCACACACTTCAACAAATGGCATCCCCTTTACAAGGCCTGAAGTTTGTGTAAATCATACTCTGTTCTGCCACCAAAACTGTGCTTGTATACAGCACTAGCACAGAACACAGCAACATCTACCAAACACCTTCTGCTGGAACAGAGCACCAATGACAGCATGCCCTATGGGAAGCCGGCTTGCCTAATGCTGGTTCTGAAAGTCAGGATTAATTGACAGTAAAAAGAGAATTGTTTTCACTCTTCTTAAATTTAATGTACTCATCTATTCTTTGAATCATTCTTGATAATCAGCAATTACAAGAAAATCAAGTTTGGTAGATGGTATTTTTTAGCTCTGTTTACACCGTCCCTGAGAACCCTTTACCACTTCTGGGAAAGCATTTCAGACTTACACTCCATCCTCAGCACATCAGCACCACCACGGTCAGAAAGACACAACTCAGCAACTGGACAAGAATAGCTAGAAGACCAAAGTGTAGAATGACTAAGAGTGAGCGGTTATTAAGAAGCTGCCCCATTCAAACCTCCTTTGCCTCAAAGCCATCAACAGTGGGTGACAGCAGCCTGGAACTTACGGAGTGAATCCAACAGTGTTTCCATGAGACACCTGATAACATGACCCCACATGGTGGGAGGAACCCAAAGAGGCATGGGTCTAACTGAAGCTGATCTGCACATTAGCTGGGCTCATCTAGGAAGCAGCATCCTTTGAAGAGGCAGCCATCTAAGCAAACCATCAACAGGAAAGGAAGGTCGCCTGGCTTCACTTTGGTCTTGAAACAACCAGTGACTTCCTCATCATTTAATATCAGTTTGATGTTTAAGGTAAAAGGGTTCCCAACTCCAACCAATATCCAGGGATGTAGTGCCGAGTAAAGTAAGCGCTGTAAGTTAGGCACAGCAGTCCAGGCCTGCAATCCCAGCTGCTCCAGAGGCCGAGGCAGAAGGATAGTGAGTTCAAGACCAGTCCAGCAATACAGCGAGACCTCATCTCAAAAATCAAAACATAAAAGAGCTATAAAGAGCATTACATAAACTTAAAACACACGCAACACCACGTATGTTAACACACATGAACACAGAACATGCTTTTATAAAAGGCAGTGCTGCTCAAGGGTCTAACAGTGCAGATTTACAGAGCTCCTTTTGCATAGAGCAGGAGGATTTACTTCATGCTTCAAGACATCTTGGCTAATCCTGAGCTGCAGACTGCACTGTGCCAACAGTCTAGGAATATTCTAGAAACACACAACTAGGAGGGGAAACATACCTGAAAAGTCTATCTTGTAGCTGAATTTGGAAGTAGTAAAGGAAATGGAGCCACAAGGGTTTGTTTTGAAGCTTTTTTCGATATCTTCACTGCTAACTGAACATTGAATGTTGGTATCCGGCTTTAAGACAAACCAGAAAGTTGCATTTACCAGCTGTTCACAGTAATGGGTTGGCCACAGAAGTGGAGCTGAGGTCACGTGACAGAGAAAGGATGAATGAAGGGTGCCTAATGCCTCCTGCTCTACCTCCCCCATACACAGGGAGCACAACCAAGCCTGCACGTGGAAAATGATTAACGGTGTCCAGGGGAAAACAGCGACTGTTATGCTAGGCTCGGCCTCAGCCGTCTCACATATTACCACGAGCTTCACAAATTATCTAATGATTGCACTAAGTGGCTCAAAGTAAACCTTTCACCAGCCTGGTAACCATACAATGGGAGAAGAAAAAAAAAACCCAAACTACAAGTTCTTGTGTGGGGGTTCAAACCTCAGTTAAACTCTCTTTGCAACTTGGACCAAGCGAATGAAATTTTCTGAGCTCTCCATCCTCTGACAGAAGATGGAGCAGTGTCATCCGCTTCAGAACTGCTGTGAGGACACACAGGGTGCACACAGCACCTAACGTCACACCCGAGCTCCTCCCTCCCTATTTCCACCAGATCAAACCTGAATGTGCTTGTATGTGCCGAGTCCACCACCCAGGCATGCTCCCTGTCTAAGCTCACCACTGCTTCTAAGAGGTTTTTGTCGGGGGAAGAAACAGACTTCTAGCTACACTGGTTTCCATCAGGGCCGGAACCTTCCAGAGCTCCATGAGCAAGAGTCTACACAGTGGCAAGCCCTTGCCTGTGAAGTTTGGGGTGGGGTACCTGAAACATGTGCCACTTCCCACATTCCGCCAGGTAGAACCAGCCCCACTGTGTGTCCGAGGTGTCCATGTCATCCACGTCACTCTCCATCTTCTTGGGAAAGAGTTCCTCTGACTTGTGAAACATCTTCTGGAAAGCCAGGGAGAGGTGGAGGAGGAATACCCATTAACGACCAATGTGCTTTCTATGGACCATTCTACTTCATTACCAGGAACCAGATTCCAACGTCTTCCCCACAGTGACACCTGACAGCTATCTGCACAGTGGCCCTGAAGATAAACAACTAAAATGTTAGGCTGATGATCCTCCTCGGGTGGGATAAGTCAGTGCACATGAAGCCCCAAGAAGTAATTCAACATTCATTTGTGAATTTGTCAGGCACCCCTGCATCACAATTACTTAAGATCAGATATATCTGTTTTTCTATTTCAAATAGTCATCTTATTTAATAGCACAAAGAGACATTTCTACAATATGTGAGGCCTTTAAAAAAAAAGCTATAATAGTAAAGAATAATATAAAATAAAGTTTTAGTTCAAATATATCTATACTTTGCTTTCATAAACACATGGATATACACATGAGTATGTACGTGCACACATGTACACAGGACAGAAGTTTGCGTAGATAAGAAGCTGTCGTAGTGTCTTCTAAGCACTAAGATGCTGAGAGTGTAATGACAGCAATGACAACAATCTGGCTCTTACTAGGTGTCAAGTGTTGGTCTAAGAACTATAGGGATAACTTATTTAGGCTTAACAACAACCTATATGATACAGGTACTCCTGACATAAATTAGGAAACTAAGGCAGAGCGGTCATGCAAGGGGGAAGTTAAGCTCAGGCAGAATGGCCTCAGGATCTGTACATGTAGGTCACACATTATACTGTTTTATGCTTCATGACCAATAGGTTTTATAATGTTGACTAGAGCATTAACTCATATATACCTAATCTTTGAAAAAAAAAAAAAACATGTTCTTGGGTGGAAATTGTGATAAAGTCACCAGAAAAGGGACCAAGTGGTTAATTTAATTTCACGTGCAATTTGACTTCCTATCATCTAAAGGTTCTTAAATAGTTCATTTAAATTTGTACAACTAGTCTAGTCTATTGCCATACCACCCTGAACATGCCTGATCTCCAAAGCTGAGAAGGGTCAGACCTAGTTAGTACTTGGATGGGTGATATCCAGTCTAGACTACCACAGACAAGCACTGGAGCGTCTTACAAAGGGAATGTGGAAAAAACAAAGCACTTTCTGGGCACAGTATCTCATGCCTTTAATTCCAGCACTTGAGAGGCAGAGGCAGGTGGATCTCTGCGGCTCAAGGCCAGCGTGGTCTACACAGTGAGTTCCAGGTCAGTCAGGGCTATATAGAGAGACCCTGCCTCAAAATTAATTAATTAATTAATTAAATTTGTACAACTAGCATACGACTTGCTAAAAAGTCAGAGTACTTATGTTGAAGACTTGTTGGCCCATCACACTTTTATCCTCGACATTCTTTACCTTCCTTTTACAGAGTTAACCAATGCTATCACTTTACAATGCATCTCTCGGGGTGTGGTGCGTGCGTGCGTGCGTGTGTGTGTTGCAGAATCTTGTATATACACATCTACACTGGCAATATGGCTAGAACACAATCCCTTATACCTTTGATTGTTTTTTTTAACAAAGAATCTGTATTTCCTGAAAACTGAAAAATATTTGTATGCCACTGTATAAAATGTAGGAGCTGGTAACCCAGGATACATTCATTATTTTGTCTAGACCACATTCTCCCACACAGCAGAAACTAAAGTTCCTTCCTCACTTGGGGTTGGGATGAATACCTGAGCTCCGTGAAGGGGTTAGTTAATTCTGATTTTTTCATTCATGTCCAGCAGCTTTCCAAGGAATACTTTTCTGATTATGTCCTTGTTTTCACTCCTTCATGTTTTACAAGTTGACTAGCTGTTGAGAACAACAACAACACCCGAACAGCCTGGACCGGGCTCCAGGTTAGAACACACTATTTACCTTCTGTGCCTTAAGTGGATAATAAAGATGATGACTTAAAATGTAAACTCAGCTGTGCCGTTAACTAGTCCGGACATTCGCTCTCCTCTCCCAGCACTCCTCACACTGGTTGGCCATTTCACTGTGAAGGAATAAGAAAGCAAACCAGGGACACAGGCTTAGTTTTTGTTTGGGAAATACCCTGAAAAATTGGAAAAACAAGCTTGAAGCAAATAGGTAAGACAGAACTGGGCTGTGGGTTCTGGATTTTCTCTATCAGAAAAGGGACAGGCAACAGAAAGGTTCCCTCTATGGCTACAGCACAGTGTGCTCTGTCCTTTGGCTCTGTCCCTGAGCTGTCATTGCAGGCCAGTCTACACACAGGCACTGGAGCCCAAGTCCCAGCTACTGAGGCTGAAACAGGACCATCACTGGAGTCCAGTTCAAGGCCAATCTGAGAAACACAGTGAAACCTGAGGGAGAAAGGGAAGAAGGGAGAAAGGAAAAGAGAACAGAAAAAGGGGGAGGGAAAAGAGAAAGGGAGAGAGCGAGGAAAGGAGGGAGAGAGGAACTGTGATCAATAGCTTTGACTGAGTTTTAACTAGCGAGGCCAGTTGTTGGTTACACCTTACACTGTTTTTTTTTCCTCTATAGTCTCATGTACAGGAGAGAGAAGTCATTACTTTCCAGTTGAAGACAGGGAAAATAAAAAGCAGAAAATAATATAATTACTTTGTCTACAATCAGGGTGTGCATGTACAGTGCAGAGAAGATTAAAGAAGCCCTGAGGCCTGCTGGGGTCCCATCTCCCTCCAGGTGTCCACCTCTCAGCCTCATTTCTACCTTTGCTGCCAAGCTTCACAGATGCCCTGGCTTTCTTTCAAACAATTCATTTCATACCATAACAGCCACAGCATCTTCTATAGCGTGATTCCTCTCCAAAGGAATGGCTATTTTGTATAATTTGGCTCAAAGAGAAAACTGGCTTAAATAAAATAATTTAGAATGCTGTCGCTATAGTAATGATGGCTCACTCTAGTTAGGACACATCGACAAGAAATCAAAAGAACACGTGCAGGTTATCCAACATGGAGAAGGCACTTAATGCACGTTAGAAAGGGCCAGTTCGGTTACAATGCCACATTCGGCCTGACTTTCCTCTTTCTAACTGGGAAGAAACAATGCTTCCTGTACAGAAGGCCGCCAAGGAGAAACAGCCAGCACCAAGCGGCAAAGCATCCCTCTCATTTTCAAATGTGCACACAGATGGAGTCCAACTCCAAGGCCATCCGTACTAACGAAGATCTGTAATCACAGCACCTGAGCACATTCCATCTGAATCATGCAACTGAAAAGTAATAGGAAAGATGAGTTCAAAGTCAAATCCTGGTCCATATCCTGGAACACAATGCTGCATTCTAGACTTATCATTTCTAGTGAGAGTATTACTACATAGTTATTTTATTAGCATAAGCATACTTGAGGAAGTCATACTTGGAGATGAAGGCATCTTTGCCTCTCTATAAAGAATCAGCACTGAGTCTCATGGGCTGAGGCAAGTTCAAGGCAAGCATGGATATTTTAAGAGACACTGTCTCAAAACATACACATGTATATGCGCATACACAAAGTAACATTTTGTTTATTGCATTTTTGTGAGCATGCATTGCCACAGCACACATATGTCATGGCACACATAGGGGGAGCGGGTCATTAGACAACTTTCGGAAGTCAGTTCTCTTGTTTTCATCCCAGGGATGGAACTCAGGTCATCAGGGGTGTGTGTGTGTGTGTGTGTGTGTGTGTGTGTGTGTACATGCACATGCATGTGTTTCCAAAATCTGCTACAAAGCTGGTAAGGGGTGGACCTTCCAGACTAACAGGATAAGAAATTCTGGGAGTGGATCTTCTTCCCAGAAGATCAGCCTTACAACTAGTAAAACTCTCCAAAATCGTTTAACTCTGGAGTGTGTGCTTAGGGGGTCTGCAAATGACGGAATACACACAAGAAATGTCCTGCTGGCTCTTCTATGTGCGGTCAAAGATGAGGCCCCTGTACCCCAGGCTGAGGAAGGGCAGGCTGCTGGTATTCCTCATCCCCCTCAGTCCATGAGGCAGAAGTTCTGTTCCAGACAAACAACAGAAAACAAACTCCCTCTCCCACCCAGAGTCCACTTCCAGGGCTGCTAACTCCCTCACCTAGTGTCCTCTCAAGGAGTAGAATGTCACCTTGGGAAAAGAGGGCTTCTACCTGAACTGTAGATACCCTGACACAGGAACTCTGCCCAAGGGCAAATGGACACAAGGAATGAAGGCCATATCGCAGCCTGAGAGAGCAGCTCTATTTGGAAGAGACAACAGAGGACCCGAGACTAAGGGAATTCAGAGAAACAGTGGTCAGCTTCATGAAAACCAAGGAAAGTGAGGCGTGGACAGAAGTGGAATGGCATAAGTGACAGAGAAGAGGAGACAGTAGTGAAGAGCCCTCTTGATCACTCACTGCTGGACATGAAAGGGCTGTTAACAGCTCTGAGCTTGTACCCATCTAGGTACAAACAGAGCAAGACACTGGACAGACCTGAAAATGCTCCCACATGACAGATGTGCCCATCAACACAGGAAGAAACATGAGGCGGGCAAAGGGCTTCAACATCACTGCTGATAAACACTGACTACACAGGAAGCTACTCTGGTTCATGAGCAAAGGCTGCGAAGCAGGAGTTGATTTTTTTAATTTTTAAAATTCTGTTTATTTACTTAGTGTGTGCATATACCTGCACATGTGAGCCATGGCTCAGAGAGCAACTTTCAAGAGTCACTTCTCTCCTTCCACCAAGTGCCTCCCAAGGGTAAACGTCAAGCTTGGCAGCAAGGATCTTTATCCACGCAGCCATCTCACCGATCCCAAGAACTCATTCTATGAGTTAGCTTACATATAACAGGTTTCATTATGGCATTCTCATAGCTCAGCACCCTCAGCAGTGTGGAAGACGATAAGCCCACCATCATGTCCTCTCCAGAGTGATCCAAAAGAGAGACCTCTGCCAGGCAGTGGTGGCGCACACCAGTAACCAGCACTCAGGAGGCAGAGGCAGGTAGATCTCTGTGAGTTTGAGGTCAGCCTGGTCTACAGAACTGTTACACAGAAAAACCCTGTCTTGAAAAACCAAGGAGGAGAAAAGGAAAACCTACTTCTGGAAAAATATTAATATATCATCCCCCCCCCCCAAAAACCCCAAACCTCACTCAACCACAACAGCAGCCTCTGAAGAGTTAAAGCTTGACTACCTAGGGGACTCAGCACAGCTTTCAACCCGTAACTTGTCAACCTGGAAGTGCTGCCCGAGCAGTAAGGACAAGAGGAGAACAATGTGAAGAAGGCTACATTCATACGTAAGTTCAGCCAAGTAACCAAAACACAAAGTGATGGAGCCCAAGCTATGGCAGCCACCAAAAGAGGTCAGATCAATAGAATAAAATAACTATTTTTAGAGAAGGACACGGTATTATTTGCCCATGATCCCATTGTTATGGTAAACGTAAAACGTTGTGGATCCCCAAGTGGCTGCAGCAGGCCATGAGACCATGCGGCAGGTCTCCAAGTGGCTGCAGCAGGCCACGAGTCCCAGGCAGGGAGCCACATGGTGGGTGAGAGACATCAATGGGGCAGCTAGTTCCACGAGGAGAGACAGACAGATGGGCACACCACGAGACTACGCTGCAGGTCTCCGAAGGTGGCTGGTCCCTGGCAGGGAGCCATACAGTGGGCGAGAGACAGAGACATGGATAGGAACGCCATGCAGAGTGAGATTGGATATTTATTTAGTGGGTTATGGAGGGGAAAGGGGAGAAGGAGAGAATAGGAAAGAGAAGAGAGAGAGAGAGAGAGAGAGAGAGAGAGAGAGAGAGAGAGAGAAACAGAAACGAGGAAGGGGAAAAGTGGGAAGAAAGGAGAAACAGAAGCTGCCTCTTAGAGGGAGACGGAAAAGGGGACTCAGGCTGGAAGCAGATCAGTTTGCCTTGGCAGACGGGAGGGAGTGGGCATGGCTTGTCTCTTAAAGGGACAGAGCAGACCGTTACACCCATTACTTAAGTAGCAGAGGCAGGAGGATCACTGAGTTCAATGTACAAGGAGGTTCTGTCTCAAACAAATTAATTACTTTAATTGAATACCCAGGTTTCCACACACATACACAAAAAGGAATATATGAGACCAAAACCAGGGCAATTAAAACTGAAAATGTCTAACCATACAGAGACCATCCCTAAAGAGATGGTGACTACACTTGATGGTGCACTTCTTTCATCCTTGAGCCAGCCTGACCTACAAAGTTCACAAGTTCAAGGTCAACCTGGGCTAAGAAACAAGCTCCAGGTTAGCCTGGACTACAAAAAGCTTTATCTATTAATTAATTACCTAAAATTAAAGAGACAGTGTAATAGTGGCCATTCCTTTGAGACTGCCCTTTGCATGGTAGCACCTACCTGCAATTTTAGCATTAGGGATACCAGAGGTAGAAGGATTAGTTTGGAGGCAGCCTGGGCTACACAGCCAGATCTTGTGTTCAGATGGTACCTACGCCTCTGGGCATTCCTGCTTCAGGGTGAATGACTTTCTGGTACTCAGAAGTTGTTGAAATTGTAGATGTTTATTACAGAACAAGGATAAAGAATACAATCAGCAAAGGGGGGGGGGGCAAAAAGCACAGGGAATAAAGTCCAGAGGAAATCATGGGCAAGGACCACAGTGTCCCTTCCCAGGACACAGCACACAGCTGCTTCTCAGTAAACACTGCAGCCATGAGAGGTCACCTGAGCTGAGGGGCAGGATTTCTACTGAGAATCACAGGCACTGACACACAGTACCCATGGGACTGAACTGCGTGAAGTTCCATATCCCGAGGGAAAACAGACATTCCCCTGAACCACTCCAGCATAAATATCTGGACAAATTGCTGGGGCAAGCCCCAGGGCCTCAGGCATGCACTGTGCTTCTCTCGAGGTAGACATTTCCAAAGCTCGCTCCCTGAAGTTCCAGACTATGATGGAGACAAGCTTGTAATTTGCCTTGCTGCATATTTTAAGCAATTAACACTTAAACACGGGTGATTTCAGTATTCACTAAAACTCCCTCCTGGTACT